CTCAGAGCTCGAGCGCCCCCCACCGTCTCGCGGTGGAACAGCTGCATCCCCTGCGGCTCCAGGGTCGCGGTCGCCGGCTAGCCCACCCACAGGAGTTTCCTCCGAGAGGCAGGTGCGCTCACAGGTGTGACAGCACGTCCTAGTGATCACCCCCGCTCACCTGCCGGGATCAGAAGGAGCCACCACAGCCCGAGCTTTGTCGTGGACGGGAGTGCAGGGCAGGAGGGACCCATGGCTTCGGAGGAGGGGTCTGGCTGCAGCTGGAGATCAGGAGGACAGGCCGGGGCTTGGCCGCGGGTTGAACCTCGGACCGCTTTCCCAGCAGGGCCTCGGGAAGCTGGCACCGCAGAGCTCCCGTGGGATTCCGCTCTGCTCCCTGTCACAGCTGAACCTGAGTGAGCCCAGGAAAGGATTCTCAGGGTGGTGCATCCTTGACACAAGAGCACCCTGGTCCTCACACTTTGCAGGGGTGTGCAAAGTCAGCAAACAGGTGTCCCAGGAGCCGAGGACTCCTTGGGCTCTCTCTGGCTGAACTGAGGAACCAGCAGTTTCCTCTTTCTTCAGATTCAAACAGCTATTCCACCCTAAGATAAACTCTGACCCACTGGACAGAGGTGGGCACAGGATGAGACTGAAGTCCCCATTGCTTTGGCCTCAGTGACTCATGTAAAATGGGGATAAACGTACCAAAAAGGGTGTCAGTAAAAGGATATGGTACTATCCATGACAGCCAAAAGGTAGAAGCATCCAAATGCCAATCAGCTGGTGAAACAAAGAAACATCGGTGTGGCCCACAGTGGAATAGTATACAGTCATGAAAAGGAATGTAGTGCTGTTGCCTGCTACAGTATGGATGAACCTCAGAAAATTACGCAAAGTGAAAGATGCCAGACACAAAAAACTATGCATTACATGATCCTACATATATGAAATATCCGCAGCAGGTAAACCTTTGGAGACAGAAAGCAGATTAGTGATTTGGGGGCACTGCGGGGAAGGGAAAAGTGGGAGTGATGGCTAACGGTACAGATTTCTTTTGGAGTGATGAAAACACTCTGCAATAAGATTGTGGTGATGGTTGCACAACTCCAAAGATACTAAACTGTACAGTTTAAAAGGGTGAATTTTCTGGTATGTGAATTCAATCTCAAAAAAGCTTTTAAAAAAATAAGCACCTTCTGGATTAACCAGAAATAGCCAACTCTGTTTAGATTGTGATGATAATATATAGCTGATTCAATAAATGGTTCTAGTGATGAGAAGGACACTGATGTCAAGATAAGACAGAAGTCCTGAGTGTTTTGTAAACAGGGGAGGGTTGGGAAAGAGCTGTTTTGTTAAGCTAATGTGTTAATATATATATAGTGTGTGGTTTAAACATGTGTCACTAGAATAATATAGTGAATGTCATGCTAGGAAGTTTACACACTCACACTGGCTGTTTGGGTTTTTTTTTTTAAACAATCCTCCTCCTTTTCGGGAGAATGGGGTTGGCTTGTGTCCTGCTCTGCCGTCACATAAGCGTGAAGACTCACTACTTTGTGTTCCGTTAGCTGTGAGGAAACAGGTCTGCAAGTACAGGGAGAGAGGAGGCCAGGGTCCTCTGATGGTAAGTCCTGGGAGCTCTGCCTAAGAACAGCTTGCATTTTGTGTAGTTTGAAGGTTTACAAGACACTTTCACAACATCGGCCTCTTGGGCTCGCCATCATCCCTAGGAGGGTTCGGGGAAGGACTGTTATCATCCATGTTACATAAATTTAAAAATATCGATGTTCAGAAAAGTTGACTGAATTGCCCAAGGTCACGTAGTTAAAAGGTGATGAAGCTGAGATTCAAGCTCACATCTTCAGCTTCTGAACTATAATGTGTTAAAAAGTGCTACACAGTGGCGCCAACTAGAAGTATAATTTTGTGTGAGCAACTTTGCCAGCACTTGCATGTGTTTTATAGACCTTTGTCCTGCAACTGTCATTGTCCAGCCCTTGTTAGAACTGAGATCTGTGGCAGACAGGTGGTGACAAGGTACAGGCTCACTTGGATCCAAGGTTCTGGGAGGTTCCCCTGTGTGCAGTTTTACTCACCCCTCCTTCCAGCCTCTATCATGGCCACAGATCCCAAGACTACAATCTGTTTCACCTTTCAGCCAAGGGCACTAAATGAAAGAATGATTTTTTTCCCCATTAGTGAGAAGAAACAGAGTGCTGAACTTGCATCATACAAAGATCCAACCAGAGACATCCTGGACCTTCTGGAAGAATGTGCAAATGAGATTCAGTCGACTCCAGTGGACAGACTCCTGCAAGATGACTCAAATGTGTATCCTTTGTAATTAGCCCACTATGATAATTTCATTAATTTGTCACCGGAAGCCAAAGGGGAAATCGTTCCAGGTAATTGACAGTAACTGGAGTAACCTTCTACCTCTTGTTAGGTATTAAAAGAGAAAGAGCCCCAGACCTTTTGATCCCCTAAGTGGCTGGAATGGCAGTTTGGAGGGTGGGGGTGAGTGGCTACAGGGTGATGTCCCTGTTTGTAAAGTGGGTCTGGGATAATGGGGTGCACAGAGAAACCTATGCAAAAAAATATTGCTTATATAAAAGGCTCAGACACCAATATCCTCACTGAACTTGGATCACTGCTGAGGTACCAGGGTGTCTAGACCATCCCACACCCAACATCCCAGCTCACTACAGCCTCTCGTGCCCACGTCCTGAATCCTGGTTCCACTGAAGTCAAGGTGATTTGGACTTGCTTCCTTGTCCGTCTTCTTACTGCAGCTGGTTTTCAGCTTCTCACCCTCTGTTCTATTCTTTTCATAAGCTCCACCTTCTCCATAAAACCTACTTTGATCTCACCCCGCCCCTCTCCACCATCCAGCACAACCCTAAACATGGGAGTCCCTGCTCTCCCATAACTAACTGTTAGTACCCCCAAAGACAGCCCCTCGATTAGAGGAAATGATACTGTCTCTTCTTCCAAATCATTTCATCAAAAGTGCTTAGGGGAGAAGGAATCTATATCTAGCTTTTATATCTGATCTGCTCGATAAATTGATTAATTGCAGAAGCTTAACATCTCAAGGTTGGGTGGAATCTTAAAGGTCATCTGGATTAACGCACCAGCTAAGGCAGGAATTCTCTCCACAAATCCCAGCCCCAGAAAAACCCCAGCAATAAAAAACTTGCCACCTTCCAAGTCCGTGAATACCACTGATATCTATTAGTCTTTGTTGAAGCCTATAGAATATCTACCAAGTGATAAATTAATGACAAAAGAGGAATAATAGTAATAAAAGCATAGAAGCAGATTCAATCAAGTAAAGCTGATCATGCCTGAGACGGAACTACCCTCACCACTGGGAAGGGGGTGACTGTCACCCGGGCTCTGAACAGCCCCAGCAGGGACAACCAAAAGACTAAATGTTTCTAGAAGCAGGTAACTCCCAGCATTCTAACATACCCACCTCCTAAGTACCCAATAATTGGCTAACCTGCTAATCCCTTTGACCCACCCTCCCAATGTTCCCACACCCACAACGTCCCCAACACAAGCCTTGCGGAGCATCTTTCTTACCTGTGGCCACAGAAGACAAGTCATCCAAAGAATGCAGAACCAGCCCAGCTTGGCGGTCCTGGTCAGCGGACAGAAGCCCCCCTCAAACAGAAGGGCAGGGGCAGAGCACGGCTGGGTGACTTCATTTCCTGGTCAGATGCTGGGACAGGACATGCCTTGGCAGAGGAGGGAGACCTGACTCTCAGGTTGCTTCCTGAGGGGAGTGGGGGGTGGCTGGACAAGTTCTGAGGCCAGGCTGATTTGCCTGGGTGTCATGGAGAGCCTGGGGCGGAGGCTTCTGCGGGTTAGAGCCAAGCGGGTCCACAGGGGGTACCACCGGTTTGGCAGGCATGCAGACTCATGCTCATACTCCCTCTCTCTCTCTGTCTCTCTCTCACACACACACACCCCCTCTCTGGAGGGAGGAGGAGGAGGAGCTTGTGACAGTTCCGTCCGTGTCCAGTGGGAACAGACAGCGGATTTGCTTTCCCTCTGTCCAGTTACAAGGATGCTTCGTTCTTTGCTCTGAAGGACCCGGTGCTCAGTCACTGCCTGGGCCCCCCAGTCTCACCCGTAGATGGGGAATCTCCTGGGTCCTGGGTTTGTCTGTCCACAAAACAGTCCAGTTTTCGGTAAAATAGGACTGAGGACAGAGCTGCCAGTCAGCAGCCTGCGGGCCTCTCCTTCCCCTCCTCCCCTGGAGAAGCCCCTCCCCCACCGCGACCTCCTGCAGGACCCTGGGATCACTCACACTGCCACCTGGTTTGGCCTTAGCTGGCCTGTCTCCTCCTCAGCCTCCTTGCTGGGAACCTTGCCTTCAGTTTTCGGGACAAGCAAGGTCACCTTCCTTCAAACCATAAACTGACCCCTTGCCTCCTTGTCACCATAGGAGTCCTGTTCCTCCCGCTGTGCACAGTGAAGCTTGGGTCCCCATCTCTCCAATACCCCCAGGCTTTCTCGTATCTTCCTCTCCCTTTCTGTGTCCCCTCCCCTCTGCCCACAAGTAAGCTCATCCTCCATCCTAAAAGCACTGTTCGGGGTCTGCTACTTGCTGCCTCACGTCCCATACATTGGTAAAAGCAAAGGACTCGGGACATAACCGCCAGGGTTAACTTGTGGGTCTGCTCCTTCAAAGCTGGGTGGGTTTGGGTCGGCCTCCAGGGCTTCCGGTGCCTCAGTCTCCTCCTGTGTGAAGGAGGATGGGAATGCTCTGATGTTCCACTTCAGAAGCTTGTAATGAGGAGCTAAATGAGTCAGTGCAAATGAAGGGCTTAGAAGAGTGAAGTACCTGATACATATGTGTATGTGTGTTAATGTATCTGATATAAACGTGATGTATGTAACCATGGTGTGTATGTGTTGTACGGATTTACACATGGGTATGTGATGGCCAGTATTATCTTTTGAGAAAATTAAAGCACATAAAATACACAAAAATTGTTAACCCCTCATACTCGCACTATCCATAACTAACTAATGTGAATATTTCACCACATGTCCTTCCATATTGATATATGTGTATATGTCTGTGTGTGTGTAAAGTTACATGTATTACATGCATACATTCTCCAGAGGGAAAGAAAGGAAGGAAGGAAGGAGGGAGGGAGGTGGGGAGGGAGGGAGAAAATAATCATAAAGTGTATCAGTTAGTGTTTTGGTTCAAGCAATAAAAACGACTGCTCAATTTAAGAAGCAAACGACTTTATTAAAGGCGATGGGAAATTTACAAGTGCGCTTACAAAGCTGGAGAACAGCCTGCGGGCTCAGGTGAGAGCGAGGGGAACACCAGCCGGCCGAGAGCCA